TGGTTGTGGGTAGTTTATTGTGGTTGCTGATATTGGTTTGGTGGATGTTATTTTTGTATACACGACCAGGGTGGAAGGTCAGGTGAAAAGCGACTGGGAAGGAAGGAAAGGCTGACAAGGGTCTGAGGCCTGGTATAATTTGAGGTTACTCCGATTTTGGGTAACTTGTGAAATCCAGTGGGATTGAATTAGGGGCAGTCATTCACTTGAGGTAAGCTTGTTGTCAATGACAAGGCAACCTAGTGTAGGCAAATGTCGACTGTCTTATATTCAACCATAGTGAGAGGCCTCAGGTACCTGACCACCTCAGATGATGGAAGAAATTCTGCTTGGGAATTGCCTTTCTGACCTGCCCTGTGGTTTTCAATAGTACTAGGTCATCAACAGGTGATATTTCTACTTTGTAATCTGAACTATTTGATGATATTTCTATTCATGGATATCACATATCCAAGTTAGCAATTCATCCCGTACGTACTCGTTTCCAAGTTAACCGTGAGTCAAACTCGTACATTCTGGTCCTTGAAACCATGGTAGAGGGTTCTGACCACGGAATACAATTTACAGCTTAGTCTATCAATTCTTTCTAGTTGTTTCGACAAGACACATGCACAGCACATGGTGCCAATAGCCATCCAACTGATTATCCACTCATCTACTTCAGGCTCAAGGCACCCAATCCGTAGTCTATGTCACAATGGTACTTCTGCAAATCATCCAGACCATCCACACAATAGAATTCACAGCAGTATTATCGACTGAGGTAAAATGTATTAGATCCATACTTATTATACTGAGATGCCTTGACGTCACAGGGCTGAGTGTACATCAGATGACTGGCACCAGTCATCGGAACTAACATCTGATGAGAACCTCGGACAACGTCACTTGCGTTGCTTGATGCACTGCCTTGACTGTCAATCTGTATGTGTACGCTTCTGTCTCTGATCTTGTGTCTCCTAAAGTAGACACATATATCAAAATTCTACTATATTATCACTACGATATCTTTAGTACACCACATAAATGGCGAAGAAAACGAATGCATTTCTTCATGCAATGCAGCCATGCTGCTCTACCATGACCGGCAAAATAAATGCTTTTAGAACACGGTGTCGAGGCTCGAAAAGAGGTCCTCCTCAATAATCAAAATGTAAATGCAAGGACAGCTTGATCCCGCCGTCCATATTCTCTTCACAATATGCAACAAACCCACCGAAGATGCCACCTCCGAGTTATGGAAAACGCAGTCCCTATACAGGGACCTGCATAGGGAATTCTTCAAAACAAAAACGAAAAAGAAAGTGTAATTATAATAAGACCATAGACTCCTTCATTGAGATCATCAGCACACAGGGAGCATCATGATGTCGCCGACAAAGCGAACAGATTACCAGTATCGTTCATGTCGCGTTTCCAAAACAGAATATGCCTGTCTATTCAGGCACTATCCGGTCTTCATCGTTCACTCGTAGCTCCACAACGGGTAGCTCGTCGTCGTCGTCATCTGCATCCAACGGAGGATGGATATCCTGAATGGGAGTCTCTTCCATTGGGGTCCCGGGGTATACCGCACCGTGATCTCCGGGGCTGTCCGCTAAAGACGCCAGCCGTAGGTCCGAATCGCTAAAGTCGCCTCCACCAACTGCCTGGTTACTAGCGTCGTCGTCGAGCAGGTCATCGTCATCAGAGGTGGATCCCGGTAGCGCTGTGGTCATCTGTGAACGGCCGTGAGCATCCGGGACTCGGTTGAAAGACCACGAGGGCGGACTCGGGAAGCGGAACGGATCGGATTGCGCTCCATCACCGAACTCGGCTTCATCAAAACTCATACCTTCCAGTCGGTGTTCTTTCCCAACGCTCTTCTCCCTAGAAGCGGGACGATTGTTGTATCCAGGGGGCGCGGCCTCATCCCCGTTCTTCGCTTGGGTTCCGGTTCGCGAACCACCATCTCCCTCCTGGTGAGCTGCTCCGACTCCGGTTAAGACGCTCGACGACCCATTGTGGGATGAGCCGCCGAGACGCCGACCGTCCCCCGACGGGGATTGCCCACGAGATTCGCTCGGCGAGCCAGCCTCACTCGCCGGTCGGGTAGATGACTCGGTAATTTCCTCGAGGATCTTACCACCGAGCGGGCGATCGGACCGACGGCGGTAGAAGAGGAGGTAGGCAGCCGAGGTTACCACACTTTGGGGGTCAATAGGTCGTGAGACACTCGAGTCTACGCATGTCAGCCATTATAGTATTGTTATGTTGGTGCTTTGGACCTACCGTTGTACTCGTTCCACTGGCCAGTAAAAAAGTTCTTGGCATATGCAGTATAGTGACCACCTCCCAGACCACCGTAGTGGTTATCAACCGCGAAAAGGTCATAGACTAAGCTCTTACCCTCTTCAGGAGCTTCTACTCTGCCACTCATATCGAGTCCTTCCACAGGGAAGTCAACGAGCACATCCAACTTATCCCGGAAACCGCGGCTAGCACTGAATCTCTTGAGGTGCATGACAAGGATATCAGGTGTCCTCCATAGCTGGAACTTCTTGCTAGCTCGGCGATGTTCCTTGCAGCGTGGACAGTACCAAGCATCGTTCTCGGAAAGTATTTCCTCCTTGTTGAATTCATCTAAACACTCTTCAAGGGTGACGCCCCTCTTCTTGCGGGTTTGGCGGAGTTGACGTCGCTTATTCAGCTCGGGGTCATTTACCCGCTCAACGTCCTGCCATGTTGGCAGGCCGCGAAGGGGATCTCGGTCTTTCTTACTACCGCCAAAAAGAGCGTCATAGACCTCTTCATTCCAGTCAACAACGAGTCCCTCACCTGGTCGAACCAAGGGTCGAATCTGAACTCTGGCAACTGGGGCTGGGGTGCGAGAAACATCTGAAGAGTTATCGGCATCACTACCCGAAGCTGATCCACTCTCAGCAGCCTTCGAATCTGCAGGGTCGGATGGTTCTTCGGACTGCTTATGACCATCAGTTTGCACTCTGAAACAACGTAGAACAACAGGTATGGAACCTACCTCCTCTGGTGGAGTAACTGGCTTCGTCTTTATACGAAACGACATCTTTGGGTATTCCTTGTTGTCTTCTACCGAAGACCAGCCTAGGGGCACTGGCTCGTTACCCTTCATTATCTTCAGTTCGAACATGTCCCGAAATCGAGCAGGGATAGAGCCTTCAGAGCGCGCAGCGCCAGTCTGGGAGGCAGAGTCTGCATCGCGCATGGACACATCCACCATACCATCTTCGCCGTCCACCGAAGATGTCTTGATCTTGGAATCGGCAGACTGGGCGTCGTCGTCGTTCATGACAACAGTATCTGAGTCTTCCTGAGTTGCCTCTTGCTGATCTTCGCCGAGAACCTCCTCGTTCAAAAAGTCACGGGTGGTCATCGTGGCCGCCCCAGCAAGGACCTTGCCATAGATGGCATCGAAATCATAAGCCTCCTCCCGAGTGACAACAATGTACGAGGGCACACCAAAAAGATCTCGCTTTGTCTTTGACCGGTCCACACGGTTAAAAATAGGTACCAGAATGCGGTCAGCCTTCGGGGAGTCAATATTTGGGATCTCCTCTTGATCCGACCTGCTGAAGGAGAAATAACTCTTCTGGGGCTTATCCGGATTGTAATTGGTCGGCACGGACTCGACTTCAAAGAAAGCGATTTCGTCGTTGCCAGAAATTTGACACTCAGCAATGGAGCTCGTGTTATCAAACATTCTGTAGAACTTGCGCTTGAAGATCTCGACCATGATCAGGCGTTCAGGATCGGTGCCTTGCTTCTTGGCGACTAATTCCTTTAAGGATTTGACACTAGAATTCTTGTCGATCTCTACATCAAACCGAACTGGTTTCTTGTGTAGACCGAAGTAGAATACCTCTTTACCCCAGAGATTTTCGATGGGAAGTTGGAGCGTGAGGTTGTTGAAAGGGTCGAAGATGATACTGACCTTGTCGCAGGCAGGGCAAACAAGAGTTGATTTGTACATCCCAGCGAAGAGGTCCGTGATCACAGAATCGTTACGAGCTTTATAAATATCCCAACATTTGTCCGCGAACTCAGTAAGTGCCGCCTTATTATGAACCATTTCATCTGTGGAGTCGGGTTTCTCGATGTAAGGCTTCTTAAGGATCCTGTTCAGATCCTCCTGTAGCCCATCAAGAAGGAAAAGCAGAAATTCTTGGGAGTCCTGCTGTCCATAACCAGAGAATGCTGGGCCGTAGCGACCAATTGTGTGTTTCAGCTGCCTGGGAGCAAAGGAGGACTGGCCTGCTTCGTCATAGATCATACGCAACAAATTTGCATACGCCTTCGCTACATCACCGTTGTGAGCCAGCGGGTTGCTGGGGTTAAGATCCTGCTTATAAACGTCATCTACAGACAATAGTTGTCAGTAATAGTTGGTGGGGAATGCCGTAAGCGAAGATCAATACATACTTAAGAAGTAATAGGTCAACTCCTCAACGCTTCGTACGCACTGCAAGGCAGAGTTCATGTAACACGTATTTCCAAGGTTGCTTAGACCCGTGCAGCCGCGAGGCTTCCCATCTTTCCGTCGTCCCCTAACAGGCTCCGGTACTGGAGACGATCGGCCACTGGCGGTAGGGCTCTTGTTCTTCAGCTTAGAGGAAGCACCATTCTTGAGACTACCCGAGGGAACACCAAGGCGATTAAGTGTCTGCTTGGACGCCTCTGAGATCCACTCCCCACCGGGTATACGTTCCTCTAGCACCACGACATCACTACCGCCAAGTCCAGCAAGATCCAATGTCATCCGACCGTTATAATTAGGGTTGGCGGTCTGATCCTTAGCGTCCTCAAACAACTCCCTCTGGGCACCCTCGGACAGCGAGAGGAAAGTGTGGAGATCGATCACGAGACTGCTACCGGCATTGGCGACGATCGACGCTGCAGCGCCGGTGAAGCGCTTCGCGATGCAGCTGGGGTCATTGCAGCAGATGCTGTCGCGCTGCCCAAACCGCCCAAAATTCTCCAAACACGAACTTTAGTCGACATATCGATGTTGGCCCTTGTTTTAGCTTCCTTCAGCCACTTCTGGAAGTTGGCGTGCCTGCTAGCCAGAATCCGCACGGGCTTCATGTTTTTCTCCCTCAGGGACTGGGGAGTAGTGCCCGCGGACAGGCCAGAAAGTTTTAATATCGTAAAAATTGGCGGATTAATCTCATACTGAATGTTCTCGGAATCCCCGCCAACGTTGGTGTCATGGGCGTAGCGAACAATGGCTGGTGACTGGTCTGCCAAACCGTACCACTGCATGATCAGATCCCATCCTTCTTGAGGTATAATCTCGAAGTCTTCGCTCATCTGCAAACCTGGGCGCAAGGGTACAAAGGGCTCTCCCTTTTCGTCCTTGAAGGATGCATTCGCAGGATCCGTGACTAGAACCAAGTCAGAATTGTCCACCGGACCAACCTCTCCTTCTGTAGCAGTCTTGTCCGTTTTGTCTGCATGAGTAGAGCTCCTAGAGAGCACCCGCTTTAGCCATGCCATCGACACAACATATCCCTTCTGTCCTTCCTTTAGGGGCTGCATCATGAAACACGTTACTTTCGCGACCTGGTCATCGTAGGATGGTCGCTCGGAAGTGGTAGAAGACTGGGCCTTGGAATGAGCCCTGGTCGCGGTAGAGGCGGTGTAAGTCGACATGCTAGAGGGGGAGGGATAGACGTTGTCAGACCCGGAAACATCGTTTGAAGTAGAATCGTCGTCCTCCGTTCCGGTTGTATCCATTTTGTCCGACTGGGACTCCTTCTCGGTCAAGCCCAAATCCATATCCACATCTTGTTCGGCATCGGGAGCCGCCCGCTTCACGCTGGGGGATGATGAGCGGGTGTCACGCCCAGCGGGCGGAGCACTACCATCTCTCTGATCGGAACCAGACATATCTGTGGGCGGATCGCTGGCGAGGGAGAGTCCAGCGCAAGCTGCGGATGGGAGGTCGATGGGACCAGCGGAATCCGGGGTAGATCTGGCCCCAAGTACTTCCTCCTGCAAATGGGCGGGGATATAACGTTGCGGAGGAGAGGAAGAGCCTTGGCGTTGTGTCGCACTAGGATCGGAGGACGGACGAGGGTTTGGTGGCGAGGACGAGGTTGTATCGGAGTTGTGGTGTCCGTGACGTCTTCCGGCCTGCGAGGCAAACGACAAACCCGGAAGTTCCTGGTCTGCGAGGCTCTGCTACCTTACGGCGCTTTGTGGAAGACGTCGTGACAGTGAGCTGCGCACGTCTCGTGGCAGCTCGAGGTAATACGATGAAGGGAGTTATAAGTTAAGGAACACGCCAATGATAGGTGATCGAATCGGTGAGAACCTTCGACGAGAAACGCAGCAACAGGGAAAAGAAAAAAGACAATTAAAGTGTAAAGCAGCGAGTCAAAGGGAAGCGAACTGAATGGAAAAGAAAATCCGTTCGAAAACCCGTTTCGAGAGGCGGAGGAAATCTCAGGTCGTCCAACTGGGTTTTACGATCGCTGACTGGTCAAGGTATCGGGCGGTGTGGGGTAGGAAAACGAAAAATACCCGTAACTTAAGGTTAAATTCACTCAAACAGATTTAGGGTTCAACTGGGGAAACTTGTCATGATTTCTCTCTCGTTTTGTTGGTACCTCTTCCTTCTTCATATAACCAGTTCTGATGGTTATACAGATCTGGGAGCAGCTTCGATTTTATCTGGCCATTCCCGTTGCTTCTATTGCAGTCAAATACACCTCACGTTAGGTGAAGACGATCACTCTGAATATCTTGTCTTGGAAGGGATAGGTAATAAAGAGAGGGGCAAAGAAGGGATGAAAGAACTTGAAAAAGAAAAATAATAATTCACAGTCCAGGAAGTTCGTACCTACATTGACTTGCCACAAGCCAGGGATCACTGCTGACCCTTTAACCAGCTTCACCCCTGCTGGTAGTAATAGTCAATGCCTGTCATGTGTTAGTTTGGCAGTCATCCGTGTTCCCCGATGATCAAGCTTCGCTTGTGACATCGCCTCCCTCGATGCATGGGTTACACTACGAGTTAATTTCATATATATAGACATACACTTATTTTAAACTTATTTTAGTTACTTGGAGCAATATGCGTCAATTTAAATTCTGCTCCAGACCAAAACGGCCCGATTTGTCATAAAATTTCCCTAACTACCCACCAGTCTATATATATTTAAAACTTAATACCTTCTTCACAAGAAAGCAGTCCCTCTTAGGGCCTAAAATAGGACCGGTACATGTCATCTCCCGGCAACAAATAGATCGTATCAGCACATGTTCCAAACGCAGCCCCTGTCTCTTCATTCTTCACGACTTGCGCCAACCCCCCTGCTAGAGACACATCAGCCACTTATATTTCTCGCAAAGGAGCAGACCACACCCATTCGCATCTCGAGAGGAGGCTCTACGGGCTCTTCAAACCCATCCACTGTCCAAAATGTACGAAATCCGAAAAATACTAGGTTCGGACAGAATGAGCACCGCGGATTGGTCTTCGGACCGTGTTCTGGTATTAGGTCCAAACTATTGTACGCAGCTGTCATATCAAATATATCGACATAAAATCCTTTGAGAGGGACAATTTGATGGGTTGCGGATCGCATGACATAGCTATGTTTAACCGTGCAATCAACGTACATACGACTCGGCTCATGTCCTTGAACAACATGACCGCCAGTGATCTCGATGTATCTTCCAACATCTGGACCGTTCCTCTGCCCAAACCCAGCAATCTATAGGTAAGTTATCGCACCAGTGAAACGGGATGGATCTATCCTCCGGCGGCTCCTAGTTGAAAATAATCTGATTCGCCAGGGAGGTGTGAATAACGCGGGTGACATGGTGCTTGGGATGTCGATCAATAACTTCCGTTGATGGTATATCGGGAAAGCTTGTTCGTCGTACTTGTCACAGCTTGTACGAAGTGAGGAGAGAAATCTTCCCGTATTGGATATGAAGAAGAAGATAAAGATGAGACTATCCTCTTGCTCGGGTGTATTTGAAGCCACATCATCTAGTCGAGATGGATGCTTCCACTGCCTGGCATGTCTGACTTTGGGGTCATAGTTATCGTCATTTTCATCGATGCAGCTTGCCGGTGCATTGACGTGGGATCCCTCACGTAGAAAGTATCTAAAACTGTCGCAGGCCTTTGTGAGCCCGCCAGATAGACTGGATTTGAGAAAGAGCTTCTTGGCGCACTCTAGTCGCGCTACAGTGCGGACTAAGACAAGTCTGACGATATATTGCCAATGCAGTCTAACTGTGTACGAAGCACATAACTCTAGAAGATCAACAGGCTATCCAGAGAGTGAGAGTCCGACATACCCGGCCTTCTCGAATACTAACATAATCAAATTTTTGAGGATAGTTGGCTTGTAATTGTGCGTGGATTACTTTTGTCACAGTAATCAATGGATATATTCCTCTTACATATTAGTTATAGGATAGCCCCACCAAAACAAAAGAAGAGGGGACGATGGGATATCTTGGGGGATGAGTGCTTACACCAAACTGGACTGATAAAATCCCGAGTAGGTAGTATTCTTGACTTCATGCCTCCACTTATGGCAGGATGAGGCATGCATTGTGATTAGCTCATCTTATTTTCTGCCAAATCAAGTGTAAGCTTTCAAAGATTTGTCTACTAGGGAACAAACCTTCTCAAGAGGTAAATGCTCTCAATTTTACGTCGGACTCAAGTCTCACTTCCTCTTTGTGGTGTGCTCTGGATCGGTGAACAACAGTCGTGATAACTCAAGTTTTTGAATAATATTCCGCTTGTCTGAAAATTTTTACTCTGGTTCCCCTTTCTAGTGGTTAACGTTCGATCTACGACTTACATCGTCTACAAAAATTATGGACGTTAACTGATTCAACGGACACTGTTCCACTGCATTATGGCATATGCTGTCAAGTGAGCTTTGTCACGCCTTAAAGTTCTGCTTGATTTCAGACACCTGTATCGTTTCATTTCAAGCTTGTTATTGTCATGGATCGCAGGTCAGGTACAGTCATTGTGTCCGTGGGTTGTGCTAAGGGACAGCACCGAGACGAATATTACTACTATACAAAGGAAATTGTATTAAAAATTAAGCTGTGCGGCTAGTTGAACTATACTTGATGTAGCAGGTTCTATCAGACGACAAGTCTCTCGGTCGAGTGTTCAGAGGAGACGCGAACAACTATGTCGGTCCGAATCGTTACACCATCCGTAGGCTTATTATGTGAATTTCCGCGCTGGTGGGTTCGCTGTACACTGGCTCCATTCCAGCCATTTCTGTCACCGATGTTTTCTTCTTCGTCATCGTCATCATCATCAAAGGCAGACATGCGTACTGCCCCTTTGCTTTGTGTATGAGGTTGTGACCCAAGTTCGAGGCCCGGATGAGTACCTTTGGATCCACTATGTGACCAGTAGCCACCGCTTCGGTCGTGGTCCTTTGATACCATGGAGACGCAGAGTCGGATCATTGGGGCTAGAGCTGCGAGAAGGATGCTGTAGTTCTCAATTCTTCAGGTCAGTCAGTAATGGTGTTTGCAGAAGTACTACGTAGGTGATTAGGTCTTTATATTTCGCACACTTTACCCAAAGAATGAAAGGTATGATATTGTCTATTTCAAGCCATCAGAGAATACTGAACCTTCAAGATTTGTGGGTATTTGAACTCACGAGTAATATCATTCTTGTCGCCGATAGATTTGAGCAGCTATAGTTGTAAATACCAGCCCAGTTAGTAAGATTACGAATCGACTGCTCATACAGAAGTTAAAAAGCTCACATATGTCTTCACGATAGATGCAATTCCAGAGAGTAGTAAGGGTCCGCTAAGGCTCATCGTCTGCCAAACACGACGAATACTAGCTTGTTTGGGCATCTTGCGTATTCTAGCACACAGATGCAGACTACGGGGTCTGGAAGAAGGCTCAGCAAGCTATTACCCAAGCAATGAACGTTCTCATTGGAATATCCTCCGTAGATTGCGGTGGATTACAAAAAGTCTTTTCACTCGACCAGGATATGTCAGAAAATAAAATCGAGTCATGATCCTAGTTCGTGATTTTGGATAATTACCCCAGTCACCAAATGAGGGCTGACCGTATGATTCTGGTGGATCTACAATCGTATCCGACGCTACGGAGTCCATCCGGTTACCGGCTAACCCACAGACCACGGAAAACCCCCCTGGAGAATGGCTTGCGGCCCCATCTTGGCACAAGGCTAACTAGACATTAAGGGCTTGATATTGGACAACCCTACTGGAGGGGTACATTACTCCTATATTAATTTTAGTCAAACCGAAACCAAGCACAACATCGTTCTTGACTAGATTCATTAGTAGGTACATCTTAATTGTGCATGACTCTCAATCATTAGTCGTAATGTAATACACGACAATAAAATTTCTTCTTCCTTGCCTTTCAGGCTTCGCCCGCGTTTTTCTCATTTTCTACCGAAGCCATACCATTCGAATGAACCCCTAATAGACACGTTAGGATGTTTTTCGACCTAAATGGTGTATACAAGGGAAAGCTGATTTTTAAAAAACGTAGTACTCTTATCCCTAGTCCACCGTCGTCCATTATTAGCCAGGAGGGCTAATCATGAATTTCAAACAGACACACTCTCATCATGGTAGGCTATAACTTGGCTTTTATAAGTGTACACCATCCCTCTTGGCAATAGTAAGAGGCTTAAGCAATTTCAAGTTAATATGTCACTCTACCTGAGGTATACTAAATGAAATTGGAAGGTAAAATTATCAACCCGGACGTGAAGGCAATACTTGGGTTATATTTTCATCCTGGTGGGAAATTATGTAGGTATCGAGGTAGAACTACAGATAAAGTTGTCCTACATATCGGAAGAGGTCAATGTGCAACTCCAAGTACACCCTTCGAGAAAGTCGCAATAGGATCTTGCATGGCTAAACCATTTAGCCAAGCACCTCAAGAGTCAACGTTACACGCGACCACATCCCTGGTGATTGAGCTACAATTATTCCGTACTAACGCAGCCAATATTTCCTGGCTACTAGTGCTTATGCCCCCTTGGCGTTCGGCTAAGCTAATCGAGCATACAGCCTTGATATCCGTGTACCTATGAAACTCTCGAAACCGTATTATAGAAGCTTACGTACTTAGACAACAAGACAAGTGGACTAGTCTATGCGACAACTCATATGCTAGCTAACAACATTTTTTGGGGTAAGAATACAGAACATAATAGTCACCTCAACATTTTCTCATCTCAATCAGTCCTTCACCAACTTCCGGGTAAGCTTCAAAAGTCACTTTTAGCCCTGCTAATGTAGCCATCTGCCGCCACTCGACCGCACTTCTCTCCCGCCCCGCGTATAATGCAATCATGGCCGAATGCATCTTGGCATAGTTCACGTTCTTCGGAAACTCATGAATTAGAACACGAGAATGCGATGCCATAGCTTCAGAAACCTTCTGTAACAAACGCGCAGCTTCTAGATCCGACAGATTATGGAGAATATGCGCGAGATGGTAGACCAATGCTCCTTTAATGGGTTGTGGGCTGTCCTCCTTATAGTTCCATGTGGCTAGCGTAATCCCAGGAATCTCTGTAATTTCTTGATTAAACTCTTGTACCACAAGGTCGGAAGCTTGCAAGTCCGAATATGCCGCTTTAATGTCCAGCAACAGCTCTCCACGACCCCCACCAATATCGACCATAGTAGCCGGGACAGTGTCTCTTGCCTCGTTTAGCACAGACTGTAAGTCGTATCCGAGTGCCCTAAGGCGATCGGCAGCACTATTTGTCTTCATGAACTTGCCAGTCATGAAGTTGTTGAAGCTGTCCATCCGGCCTTCATCGGTCATGATGGAATAAGTGTGCTGCTTCGCTAGCTCCTCCTTTCCCATTAAATGATAGGCGTATTGGTAGGGTGTATCCAGTTCTTTGAATGGGTATTTGAAGTTATCTGCTTGCAACTTTCTCATCAAGAATGCAGCGCCCAGGAGAGCTTCCGTTGTACTATAGCCGGTCAGCACAGCTTCGTAGAGTTGAATTCATGATTAATGATGATTTTTCTACACTGAGAAATATTTTGTGAGCTTATCATAGGGATATCTCACAAGTGAAGTGCTCCATGTTGCGCGGAAGGCATGATAGCCAAGTGTTTAGTGATCGCATTGGCGCTGTACAGATCGTCTCCGGTAATATCAACGAAGCCCAAACCGGACATAGCATATAGAGTATCCTCTGTAGGAAAGTGGAGTGAGCCGCACACTTCTCATTCTACGTTGTAGAGAATTTTAGAAGGAACATTCTTACGAACTAAACGTAAACCTATAGGTCAGAGTTAGAGGTGACTTCGTTTCATGATGGGGAAGATATGAGACACACATGGTACGTTATCTTCGGTCTTATCACCCTCGCTGTTTCTATAAGCGGCCAAAACATCTTCTCCGCTCGCTGGGCCTTCGATCTTTGCCAAAGTGTCAAAGAGGTCGAAATGTACGGCTACAGGTACGAAACCAAGCGCAGCTACCTTTAAATCATGAAGTGAGCATGCCAGACGGGTCTATAGAAAGGTTCCGAGACGTACTGAAGTAACTGTGCTCGCAAGAGCTACCCCAGGTGGAAGTGAAGACATAAGGAGCAATCAATAACCCTTGCAGGATGGTTAAAAGTTTGTTGTTTTCAGTCCGCGACCGACCAGCAAAAACCTCCTCGGTTGTGTATCGTGTCTCCAGGGGCCAAATCAATGGACTGCCAACAACGGATTTTAGATCGACATGGGGCTAGTTTCACGGTTATATTATGTTGGTGCAATGATACAAACTAACGGTAAATTACCCCTGGTATACCACGATCGGAAAGTATCTTGAATTTTCGTCCCCAACGCTAACCACCCACTAAATATCTCTAGACTGATTAATCCCTGTCAGTCATTTTTGACGTTACCAATCAGCCATGTTCGCCTATAGTGGTGTTACGCAGCGTAATGAGTTTTGCTTTTTAGTTATTGATCAAATTTTATGTATGGTCTAGTTCTGTCGAATTCCCGGAAAAGCCGATGGTGGTTGCAAGTTTCGACCCATCAGGTAACATCCTCTTTCGTGGTCACCTCGCTTGATCATTCTTGAAAGTGGACTGAAGTATAATGCAAGCTAAACTACTGCTGCAAGGAGTTAGCTGATGCATTGCCCATATGGTCCCGCCGACGTCGTCTAATATTCCTGCCAACCCTCCATTTGAACATCTTTCAGCCAGCTCCTCTTGTACTATAATAAGACCTCCAAGGAAGTCAATTCAAAGTAGTCTTGACCTACGGTTTGAGTCACCGTGCCACGGGACAATGGCCGAACCAAAGGTTGAGCAGCAAGCATTCCCGATGGACAAACTTGACAGGGCTGTACCGGAAAAAATTGAATCCCCTGTCATCACCTTTGAGGATGATGAGGATCGCAACCCTCGGAACTGGAGTCCAACGAAAAGGCGCTTTATGTTCATAGCACTCATGTCAAGCTCCATCCTGGCTGATGGGTATGTCGTGTTGCCATAGACTCCGGGAGACACACCACCTACTAACCATTGCCGCAGTGGGATGACATGGGGCTCAACGCTAATTGTTCCTCAGGCCTTGGAGTGGAGTATCAGCGTTAACCATTCAGCAACAAGCATGAACTATGGTATGTTACTGCAAGGAATAGGTGGCCTTATAGCCATTCCCTTGATTGAAGCATATGGACGGTAAGTGCTACCTTGCTGGCTTCTGGGGGTGCCGGTGTGAAGGTTAAGATCAAAACAGTCTCCCTGTTTGGTTATGGCCACAGTTTATTACCACCTTCATGGTCCTCGGTGCGACCCTTTCAGATGATTACGGCACATTTACCGCATTTCGGTCTCTCCAGGGTCTATTCGGCACGGTCCCACAAGTTGTCGGTTTGCCGATCATTCATGACATGTATCGTCCCGAAGGTATGCAGAAAAGAAAACCAATCTAAGTACATTTTAAGAATCCAAACTCAAAAAATCTACAGACTGGCCACAGATGATTAATATTTGGTATGAGTCACACATCTAACGACTAGCCTTGCGAGATTGGTGATTGGTGATCTGACAGACTATTCCAGGGGAACTACGTTTTTGATAGGTCCTTTTATTGGCCCTGCTCTAGCTGGATATATAGGTGCAGGAAGCAACTGGAAGGTTTCATTTGGTATTCTGACGGTCTTTTACGGAATATCTACCATTTTAATATTCGTTTTTGGTTACGAAACCTACTTTGTCAAGGGCCGGCAATGCCAACGCAATTCCCGTTTACAATCCATTCTTGGAATCAAGAACCACAACTTGCCTGTTGGCCGAACCCTCGGCTACTGGACTAAGTTAATGGTCGTCTATATCTTCAAGTTACCCCTTCTTTTGACTGGCATTGCAACTATGGTGAACTTTTGCTGGCCAATTGGTATGCTAGGCTTTTCTTCTGATCTTTCATCGAATTTTGATTCTGATCTTGCTAAGGTATCACTGTTACCATTTCAACATTCGTTGCTGAACCTCCTTATCTCTTCAATGCGGTTCAGTCTGCCTCGTTGCGATGGGCGCCTATCCTCGGTGGCTTGTTCGGTATTAACCCCCACGCCCCACTCTTTTGGAGGAAAGAGAAAGACAGCGTATGAATGATATCTGACAAGCGGAGCAGGGTATGCCTTTGGTTATTGGTTCAACGGATGGATTGAGAGATCTCGCCGAACGAACTGGCTCCCTGAGTACCGTCTGCATGGCGTCTGGATTGCTATCGGAACCATGGCAGGTGGTCTCTTGACCTACGGCTTCACTCTAAACTATGGCAAGCATTGGATTGGACTTGCATTTGGTTGGGGTATGGTTGTAGCGGGTATGATTGCTAGCACGGTGTTAGTACTGCCCCATATCCTCGTTCTGTGCAGTACATACTTACCTATATCACCTTCTGAAGGTCCATCACTGCGTATAGCCTTGAGAAGTATCCCGACCAGTCAACTGTTGTGTCTGCGATTATCAACGCATGGCGCACAGCAAGTGGTTTCTCCGTTGGGTATTTCCAGCCTGCTTGGATTACGAGAAACGGTATCTCGGCTGTTTTCGGCACTCAGGTTGCTGTTGTCGTTGCAGTGTTAATCCTTACCATTACTCCTGTTATTGTTATCGAGGGTCGAAAAGCTAAGGCCCAAGTTTCCCGCGCATAATAATTTCGAGAAATGTATTAATTTAAGGACACTGGTGACTTTCCGCAGGGTTTCTCCTTTTATGCAGGTATGTATGGGAAGACATCACGATCTGGAGTTCGCTCTAGAGTCTAGAGGTGAGGCGTTGTTCAGTTAGCAAATGCAAGAGATTGGATCAGGTGTTTCCATAGATATCTTTGTATTGCTGACTGTTTTATTCAAGACATTTCTTACATATTGTATAATATAATGGAAAGCTCACGTCAATGTTGAGATAAATCCCTTGGACCACAATCGTCTCTTGCATCATCCATATAAACACGTCAATTAATATTAGACCTAGCAGTGAACTGGCCTGGAGACATGAGTTTAGCTTGTGGTATTAAAATAGTCAATGTTCTCGATCAAAAGCTTGCTAATGTAGATATGTGATTTCACTCAACTTAGAAAGCATAGAACCTCTATAGTCAAGACCTAGTGATGTCCTAGATGCAAAGAGCTGAAATTATTATATTTCAAACCGAGAACATTCTCTAGTGTTAATTTATAAAGACCAACCAAACTAACCCCATTACTACTATCGCATTTGAGAGACTTGCCTTCCTCGCTGCAGCACCAGAGCACCCGAATTGATTGATATTCTTCGAGTCCCAAAGGCAGTTCTCTAACTGCTCGTGCGTACTCTCCGTGGCATTGCAATAGGCAGCGCAGCTCTCCTTGCCAAAGTAGCCTATACTACCATTTACTTCATTGCAGCATTCTCCTAACGTTGTGTAGGGGTCTTGTGATGCGTTCCAGCGTTGGTAGATCGGTAGGCCGCAGGCGTGGGATAGAGGAGCTCTGGGAAGCCGGTGTGGTTTGCACAGCGGGCGGGACCGATTGATGCCATATTGTGTCAACGTATATATTTTTGTTTATATATCGGTAAGTGTGTTGAATGTAGAATTCTATATTCTTCGGTTAAATGTAAGCAGAAGTATACATAGTAGTATATCAGGTAGGAAGGAGTAAGAGCCGACCAATGGTTGGTGGAGGTACTGGAAGTAGATATTCAGAAATTAAAATCTTCGTCCAAAATGATTATCGAGAGAATAAGAAGTGTTTATCAGTATAAGAAAACACAAGAAAGAATTTTCCACACATTTAATGTAGTGCAGAGAAGTACTAGACAGACACGTGACTGAGAGTTGTATTATAAAGGCCTCAAGGTTGTATTCAGGTAGCGCTAATCACAGATAGTTTGAGGCATTCTATAAAATTAGTCACTAGCCTTGTCACTTAGCCCGTTAGAGTTAGCTATGTGGAATGCAGTGTCTATTAGCCGTTGACTTCTGATTACTATTTAGTCAAGACTTATTACTGCCAAGGCATCTTTGGAGGCCAAGCCCGGCCTACGCTGAGATCGTGGGATATTTTGAATCTAGCGGCGAGCCTAGTCTAGCCAAGTCGCGCGGTGCTACTACTGTTGGTCTTGTGAAGGCCTCTAAAGTGATCCATAAGGTATATTGCTCACCTCAATAAACTTTCTATAGGCTTGACGATCAAAGTTGGTATTAGCCTCGGTTAACCGTCCGACGTCGCGAAGTACCTGGTTATGTCTTAGCGTGGACTGAACTTGGCCCGCAAAGATGCTTTAGCATCTGTAGACTGTAGATATTCAGTTCTCTTTATAAAATAGTTTTCCTGCAATAGTCCTCTTACCTAACGCCTCTGCTGATCATCCAACCTGTCAAGTATCTAGCCATGTCTTAGCGCGGGCTAGACTTGGCCTCCAAAGCTACCTTGACATCTGGCGTCTGTAGATATTGGGTTTATATTATAACATAGTAAAAGTCCTTTTACCTAACGCCTCTGCTTAGTATCTAGCCTGCCAAGTGTCTCGTTATGTTTTAGTATAGGCTGAAATTGGCCCCCAAAGACGTCTTGGCAGCTGAATACTAGTTGGTGTCTAGCAGGGCTTATAGCTAGCCTTGAAATATACACTTACTACTTTTGAATACTGATTAAACATTGGTAAGCGGGCTTAGTAGATTTGGCCGCCTAGGTCTAAACGGTCCTAACGGTGAATTACTTAGTAAGTTGGAAGCCTGTCAGCTGGTCAAGCCACCAGCAAGGCAACTGCATTAATCCAAACCTGAATATCTCCACTACGACCCTACATACCTTGACCAACCTTGAACATTATCATTCACAGGTATCGAACAACGCCGGGAAAGATACAAGGATAATCATGTCCGCCGACTCTAATTCCCCGCGCGCCATTGCTCTTGGCTACATCTCCAACTCTCATTTCCACCGCCGCTACACACTCCCCGCCACTGGGGAGCATGACAGCCTCACCTTCACTTATGCGGACGTCGGAGCCACTCCCAGTTCAACGAATCTGAATCCTCGAACCATCCTCTTTATGCCGGGCATGTTCGCCTCCCGATATCTCGGCGTATTTATACATGCAATTGCAGAGAAACATGGCGTGCGTGTCTTGATAGTCGATCGGTTGTTCCACTCATCCCAAAACCCATGGTCCTTCTCAATGCTAACCATCCAACACAGCCCCGGAATGGGCAACTCCACCGACGTCCCGCTAGATCAACGACTCTCCATCTGGATCGAACTAGTGCCCCGTCTCCTAGCGCATCTAGAAGTCGAACATGTAGCGCTGGTCTCACATTGTGCCGGGACCATTTATTTATTGAATACCCTGTTCCATTGTCGTGACCTTCTCCATCCAGAGAGGCCATTCGTCGCTTTTTTGGGTATTTCCTTCGACTCCTTTGGTATTTTGTTTGCTCCAAATATTAACGAAGATAGCACCCTGGGTACATCCTTCTCATTCCCACGTCACGTCCATGCAAATGGCCCAATATGTACCGGTCAAAGCATTCAGCATCTGGAATCTGATTCCAAAGTTTCTTCTTTTGAAAGCGGGTCCAGCTTTTACCTCAAGCGGGGTTGCTATCACGAAGACCTCAGATGTTATCTCCTCCGGCTCTGGTTTCAGTAGCGGTGAAGACAACACGACGGAGTTAGAGAGGAACCGACGACAGATTGAGAATGAGTACGGACTCTCTCGAGATGTGCAGGCTGAGCTCGATAGTTTGATGTTCCAGTTCATGTTCGAGGAAAGCACTGTCGGTGCAAACAGTGAGGCTTTACAGTGCTTGCGGAAGGGGTCTGATAGTGGAAAGACATGGGGAAAGTGTGATGACTACGGGACTTACGTGAAGGAGTTAGCAACTCTTGAGGGAAGGAGACATAGACGAGCAGGAGAGGAAAAGCTGAAGGTAAGGGCGTATTTCGCGGGCAATGACTCCATGATTGGGAAAGCTGGCCAAGAGTATGTAGAGGAGTGTTGGGCATGTAATACGAGGGAATTCAAGGAGACCATTGATTTCGAATCAAGGACCTTTCCGGAGTTGGATCACGACAGTTTAGTTCAGTCTGCTGAGGTTTTGAAGAGCATTTTCCTCCATGCTGGAGGCACCACACCCGATGGATTCGAATCAAATTGAGCTCTGCTTCGACCAACATGGTTCTATATAGTGTCTAGAATAGACTTTTCTAGGCGTCGTTTGTCTCGGTGAATTCGCCAAATATCTATTAATGCTCGCCTGCGCTTCACCTCTCACTGCAATGTATACTCGGCTTCAAATCTCTCCAGAGGTAAGACCTTCACTGGTACTTAGATAAGATAACATTTTCTTTGACCCCTTTTCGAACTCTGACCATGTCTTCGTAAATAAACAGCGACGCGAAGCACATATTGAAGTTTAGATTTTCAACCAACTTTCAATCAACAAAGCACATCCCGTACAGCCGTAGACCCAAGCAAATATCAACCGCATAACCACACAATCAATGGGAAGCCCATTAATTCTGACTCACGCGATGCCTCGAATCACGTCGGACAATATGGCCAAATGTAAACCGAATAAGCAACTGGTTCGCCCGCCGGGTAAAGCGCAATGTTAGACAGACCTTCCTTGATAACGAAATTTTTTGGTATAGCCCAAATCCAGTGATTGTTAAGGCTTTCAGATCCGTTAAAACCGTTAAAATACCAGGTGCAGTTCTTGCCAGGCACTGCGGCGTCGGCAATCCAAAGCCACTGGTGTTGAATGTGCTGTTCGTAGCGGATCCACCAGTAAATAAGATATATAACCGGCGAAAGAGGGATCCCAAGCAAAACAGCAGCAACAAAAGCGCCCCAGATAATACAAGATATCCAGAATATCAGGAACCATATTATCTTGAGAATCACTTTTCCCACCGCTAAAACTTTAGTGGTTATCCATTTCAAGACTTGTCTGAACATCCGGAATACTGCGCGGAGAATAGCACGAGTGATCTCGACAGTGTGGTCGCCGACTTTGTGGGCTCTGGAAACGATCTTTCCCCACATCTCTTTCATATTAAGGCATTTCGAATATTTGAGCTTTGGCGAATCTGCTGACAAAGATTGAATTAATCATGGATGTTCACGAATACTACCCGTGTAGTTCTAGTAGTTCTTGCTCTTACCCTTCTGCTCTGTGGGCTGAGCTGGGTCTTGGCTCCTGTATGAGGGAGGCCTATCTAGACTAGGACATGGAGTTAAATCTTGTGTAGATGGGTAGACTTCTGTGTTATTGCCCTGGGAGGGATCATACCCAATACCCTTGCCTACCTCGAGATCATATAGGGGCAGTGTTTCCGTGGATGGAGACATGATAAAGTCATGCGCGAGGTGCTATTCAGACTGAGTTGTGAAAATGTTCCAGTTAGAAGGAACTCAAGGCTGGAGAGAATGTCGAAGTTGATCGCTGTATGACTCAGGATAGATCCGTGGTTGACTTCATATGTAGTTGTCATGCTTCATTACGACATAATGCCCTATTATGGGCGATACCGCAGTACTACTAGTAGACATATCAGTCGTGTCTCCCCAGATGATTTGACTTGTTGAAGAAAATTCATGAAATAGGTAAAGCCATGATTCGCAGTCTCAAGTAATTCTGTTCATTCGGCCCACTATATCATTAGAACCCTAAGTCTTGGGTATTTTCTCTCGAGACCACTATAAAACAACCACAACGAAGGGTTAACCGAGTGCCTTACAATTTAGGTGCAAGCTATAATGAGATCTAAGGTCCTGCAGGCTACTTGAAGACGATATCCTGAGCAGTACCTCCATATCGTCGGCCCGATATAATATAAATTTCATGATATAAGATCCCAGCAAAGTCCACCACCAACCTGCAGCCAAAAAGACATAAATAATGCCAAATTCCCATTAATCAAGTGCCGAGAATATGCCAGCCAAGTTCCCCAAAAAACCAAACTCACCATCATTCTCCGAATAAGGTACAACTGATCTCAAAACATTGCCCCAAAAAGAGCCGGAGCTTATTTCTTTCTCCTGGGAAATAATACTAGAAGAGCCACGCCGACTCCTAGAAGCAAGAGACCTATAACGATGGTGAACCAAACGTACGCTACGAATGGTATCTCATGGGCGAGCCTCGAAATACTCTGACAGCAAGTATTGTGGTGCTGTTCAGGCCCTTGTTCGGAATTGTTGTTCTCTGGCTTTGGCTCATTTTCATCTGTGAAACGCTTAGCTTCCAGTTCGAGTCCAGGCCAAAGGTATGTCTTACCATCGCGCCGCATCCATTCATTGTCCGATTCCGAGTCATCAAAGGGGTTGTCGGGAACTCCAAAAATATATCTCTTCTTCTTTGAAGCCTTTTTGTTTTTGTTGATGGTAGAAGGCCCAAGACCCTCCCCTCTTTCTAGGTCAACGTCTTGGAGAGCTGTGCTTCCCAAGACCGGGTTTCTTTGACTTGGCCTTTGGTATGTGGGCTCAGGATGCTCTATCGTATCATTTTGCCTAGAGTTGCCTCTTTCCAGGACCTCTTCTTGGGGTAGTTCGGTTTGTGGACGTTCAGACATGACAGGCTATAGTTTCGAGCGCGATGTAGCTAAGAAATGTGGCAAGGTAGAGTGCAGTCGTGCTTTGAGAATTTCTGAAGGAGAAAGGCTACGTCGAGGATGTGATGACGAGTTTCAAGGACGTCATAACTAGGCATCGACTCTTGAAGTAGGTATGAGTGACATAATTCTTAGGTGGTGTATGCCGCCAAAGCAGGCTAGGACTCAGTGTGCCTCAGTAAGACTGTCATCAAGTATATAGACATATGTTTACTGATCTACGGTCAATATAAACCTATGTCCGTAATTTCCAATAGGGCATATGGTATAGCATCCAGTCCTGCTAGCTTCGAAACGAAACGTGCCGCGGGCCAAGGCGTGTTCTGCCAGGTAACAAAGATCTAACAGTCATAAGGTCAGGTATATAATATAGTACCCAGACTTTGATTCCAGTGTTTTCTTTGACATAAATTGAGTGAGAACGGAGGAAAATTATACTAAACCACAAGTGGTACTCTGAAAGGTTGACTCCGCGGAACGGATCTCGATGACTTCACAGGCTACTGTAGAACGATATCGCGAGAAATGCAACAAAGACAAAAAATAATAAAAAAAAGAGTTTCCGGGTACTATCTAGAAAGATAGATGATGCAAAAAGCAATGACCAGACTGGGGCTCGATCCCAGGACCTTATCGGTGTTAACGATACGTGATAACCAACTACACCATCCGGCCAATTGTTGAATACTTGCTTTGATATTTGACTACAGAAGAGAAAGCCGGCCGTTAGACACCTCCCGCGCTGCCATCCCAATAACCCTAGATGGTGCTACTACTAGTAGTATGGTCAAAGTCGTCCTTCTGCGGTAGGTCAAACAAGAACTCAACGAAAACTCAGTCTTAATACATTCAGTAGGTATCTGCAGAATGCTTACTGTCGGCTGAAAGTTAACTCCTTATGTATAGTTATTCTTGAGTAGTGAAAACATATTGCTAGGATAGGAGACGAGTTGTAAATTTTTATTCTCCTTTGTCACTCAACCAGGAACAGCACCCACTATGAGACTAGAATCTCGAGGCTCAATCTATTCATCATGAGATAGTCACCTCAAACTGGCCAAATACTTTCATATCAAAAGCATGCTAGCTATAACCAGGTTCTCTTGCCCGTCCCCAGAACTCCATGTATGGTGAAATGCATGGGATCCAGGATAAGGCCGAGGTGTCGGATACCCTTGGGAGAAACTCTTCTTGAATTTACTCTTTACTTTTTCTGCTTACTTCAAATCCTTGGCAAGTATTCTTCCCCTATTGTCGATGCTTTTAACAAATCCAAAGCTATTACTACTGTCCAAGGAACCAGTATTGAATGCGGGTCACATCCCAGTAACCCCCATAAGGTGGTACTCCGAGAGGCTTGAACCGCTACCAATTCTCCTTATGTTACTTTTCGAGGAGATGGTGAACTATGGCATTGTTACTACACGAGCAAGGATTGCCACCTTTTATGCTCCATGTTCGCGTTCAGTAGGCCCCAGAATGGACAAGGTAAGACAAATGTCCAGGTGGTCGGCATGTATAGCCGCATTCAGCGGTGTCACTTCCTCTCCAGTCTGTAGGTTTGGGTCGACTTTATCTCCAATAGCTACTTCACAATAGCAAGGTTCTCGCTGGTCACAGTGATAAGGGTGTTCCAGAATCCTCATCAATGACGTTGACTTGAGCGTCATGCTTGATGAGATACGCAACAATCTCATAATTTCTTGACTCAACGGCTTGATGCAAGACAGTCAAACCTGGCATTTGTCCATATTTGATAATCTTGATTTCGGCTTTACATTCGCAGAACATCTGAGCCGTGTTCATATGTCTTTTGTCTCCGGGCCCAGCACAATTCCTGACAGCTGTTGCTATTAATGAATTAGATCTCTCCGCTATTAAGACTCAAATCAAAGAGCTCTGCCATCGACACATAGCCAAGGTGTGAAGCAGGGTGGAACGCAATAAAGTGCTTATCGATACAAACATCCGGCGGGCCAAGGTTTCCAAGTTGAGTCGATAGTTCAATCTTCTACTTTGCTCTATCCACTGCAGCAGCCAGGAGTTTTTTTCAATCTCCAAGGTTTCAATGATATCGCTGGCTGCCTTTATGGTATGCTTGGTTCCCTGCGTCAATGTATTCCTAAGCACCATTTGTACCTCTTTTCTCTCCGCATAGGGGCACTCATCAGCGTGCCTATGTAGTGATAATCTATCATTGTTCTCTTGTGACACCGCGTTTGCAGTCGTCATTGGTGAATTATCCAGTTTAGACCCTCATTTTCCATGTCAGAATTCAATAGTCACGTATTGGACTCACTCGGGGATCAGAGAAATGCTTATGTAAATACCTGAGGAGACATTGCTACGTTTCGCTTATTAGTCGAGCCACAATGCTTGGCTCCTCTAAGATCGGAGAGCAATGTATGAAGAGCAATCTATGGAATCTATCCTTCGAGCACGCAGCACCAGTGTGGTGGGTTGCCAGGACGTATTCCACCGCGATGTATGTTAGGAGTCTGAATAGGGTTGCTTGGGCTCGGTTTGCACGGGACTGGAAGAGTTAGTGAGTATATGGCCAGGATGACTGGCACGGAATGATGCTTGAACAGGCTGGCTTCCCTGCATCTGCTAGAGAGTGATGTATATGAGTCCAAAAAGGTAGAATTAGACACAAGGAGCCAGATAATGGTGCCTGTGTACGACTGAGCAATGGATAGCAAAAACATTGACCAGACTGGGGCTCGATCCCAGGACCTTATCGGTGTTAACGATACGTGATAACCAACTACACCATCCGGCCAACTGATGGATTGTGCCGCTTTTATTTGACATTATAAGGCTAAACAAACACAGCGTTGCTCTTCCCAAAGTCTCCTCTCCTAGACTAGGCCATCGAGAGCCCTAAGTTTAAAAAGTGCATATATGCAAGCAATCTTTGAATGGGCAACCCCTTGTCATTACTATATAGTGTGGAGGTACCAACCCCTTTTTGCCCATCTCGATATTCTGACTACCTCCAAACTCAATATCCATATGAGGTTTATGTGTATAATTGGTTCATCAGACCTTCGGCCGGCTTTACTAGTTTTTGATAAGCTGAATATGATTGCTCTCGCTGCCATGGATATTGAATTTACGGGTACTAGTTACTTTGTGTGTCATGGTATTTACTATTGACGGGTTACCTGATGGTAGTATGTATGGTTGGAGCTACGGAATACAATTAAAAGTATGATATATAATTTAGCACAGTGTTGGCAAGACCCTCGGACAGGCATGGAAGCTACAGCATGAAATACACACTGGGTAACATGTCACTCATGAGTTATGTGTCAGTGAGCAGTATGTTGCAAAAGACCCGTCTTTTATGTGAAAGACGAAATAACGAGCTTGGTTATGCCAACATAACATTAACATCTGAGGGTGAATGAGGATCTCGAATATCTTCCACTGTAGATTGTGCCTGGCAGATAAACCCTGGCTTATGGTGTCTGAAAGAACTGTTAATTATATCATTCGGCCGGATGGTGTAGTTGGTTATCACGTATCGTTAACACCGATAAGGTCCTGGGATCGAGCCCCAGTCTGGTCAATGTTTTTGCCTCTGTTGCCCCCTTTCCTTTCTTCGTAGCACGTTCCGCCTCTGTATTTAACAGTGTTGGTGAGATATTTTGCTATTGATCCAAATCGCCGAGATCTGCCACTCCGTTGTCCCTCTCGCTTTGGTCGCCAGGCATCATTTTCCCTCGGCTTCCACTAGAACGCCTATATTGTCTGAAATGCGATGTCCTGTAAAGCTCGATCGAGCTCCTTATGAACCTAGGCTCATAACGTTCGCAACACCTCAGAACCGATGATGTCTAGCGTTTGCCAGATTTCACGGTGGCTACATTAACATTCTCGATTAATTCAAAGACTTGAAAAAGCTGCTGTGTTGACCACCTCAGACCTTTTGCAAGCATCTATCTTCCTGTATACTGTATACACTACCTGGTAATGTGTCTGCACACGCACTATATATAGATCTACGTGTCTGTAGCCCTAAGTACGCTATATTATCACAAAACCTCTCCGAGCCCTAGAGACTGCGGGACTGTCAGGGTCCGAAACGGCCGACCAGTAGAAGGGCTACATCGCTCTCAGTTGGACTACTTTTGCTCCTGCTTGGCTTCTCGGACTCGGAAGCTTTCCGGGGCCTTTCCAGAGTACTAATTAATATAATCGACGCGTCCTAGAGGCTGAAAGATGTCAATTATGCCGTAGTCTAGTTATTAATACAATAGTATAGACATGAATCTGAATTATAGATGGTAATAATTCCTCCCTCGTTTGATCTTCGTCAGGGGCCCGTTCCCTGACAGCGAGGTTTCCCAGTCTCCGAGGTAACGGACGAAATTAGCTGTGAGTCATCTAGTGTTGGCTAAGTAAATACATAAGTGTGGAGCTTCGTAGAAGTCCACTGAGTTTTCGTGCAAGAAGCTTAGATGCGCATTAGATTATGAGAAGTTGACGCTTATGTGGGCTGCTAGTTGTGACGGGTCTCTCGTAAACGAAGTCCTGTAGCTAGTACTCCATACCATGGAGTTGGTACGGATTTAAGGTTGTTTTAGAACTGCCAGGGGTAGAACAGGACAAAGTAAACCTGGTGAAAAAGCCAGAGGAAGTGATCTTCATGGCGGCTAAAATTAAATTGGATGAGTCGGGAGACAGTTCAGGAGTTGCAATCAACTTATTCAATACCAATAGCTATGCGCAAGTTCTTCACATCAACAACTAAACTCCGGAAGTCCATAATCTGAGACGCAAAACCTGTTCTATCCTTCGATGTCTGTCCGCACCCATGCTGTCATTTTGATCCGGTCAAGTCCCGTTCCTGCAGCCACTTTTCCAAGCTAAAGCTTCCATTTCGCAACTCTTCGGGGTCTCCCTTCCACTCAAAGGCAAACCCCACGACTTCCTTTTCTCCAGTGTCAAGAAAG